CATGTTAAATCCCAGTAGCATAGAGGCGGGAAGGAGTTTTCATAATATATACCCGAAAACCCCATTCCAATTATTAAAGCCAGATGTTTAAGGAGCTCTAAGCCCTAAGCCCAAACGCAAGTGAAGGCTCTGCCTAGAATTATTGGAGATTGGCTGCCATTGCGCCCAAATCCCATTTTCAGCAGGACTCCGAAGATGTTGTCTAGGGTTTGCGGCTGGGGGTTTAGGGTTACGGTGTAGGGTTTAGGGATCGTCAAATCCAGAATCCTTTTGCCTACCATTTCTCGGAAACCTGCTGCCAAGACCTTTTGCTGCTAGCTGTCAGAAAACGATGCCAGTAGACCCTGAGCTTCAGCTATCCAGGGTTTAGTGTTTAGGGTTCAGGGTTCAGGGTTCCCATACCTCCTGGTTAGGGCATACTGCTTGACCTATACGTGGGATCCTGCCAGAACTTCAGGTATTTCCCTGAACATAGTTAAAGTACATTTAGTTATAAAGCCCATAAGCCAAGCCCTCAACCCTGAACCCCCTAAACCCTAGACCCTAAACCCCATCATGTCAATCCCTTCAAATGCGACCTTGAGGGAGCCCTAGTTAAAGGTCTGTTCCTCAATGCAGGATATGGGAGTTTCCGAAAACTTTAGGGTACCTTGCTTTGGGGTCCCCACAATAAGGATCCGATCCTAGAACTTAGGGCACTACATTTGTGTCCCCTATTTTCGGAAAACCCCATATTGGAGGATCTTCGTGTGAGTGAACGGCCCAATTCTTACCCTAAACCCTAAACCCTAAACCCCTAAACCCTAAACCCTAAACCCTTAACCCTAAACCCTTGGGCTACTGTAGTGCCTCAAACCCGAAACCTGAGGCTCTTTTGGGGTTTAGGGTTTACGTGGAGGCCTAGAAAACCTTGCTTTTTAGGGTTTAGGGTTTAGGGTTTAGGGTTTAGGGTCCCTATTATGACTTCCTTAAATAAGTCCTTAAAAGGGTAGGTCACTTGGGGTCCAGGTAGGGTTAAGGTAAGATTATAGATACATTCTAGCTTTGTGGTTTAGGGTTGTTAGGGTTTAGGGTGTACCTTAAGTACCCCCAAAACCTACTTTTTTGGTAGGGTCCCTATAAATCCCATAGTAGGGTTTATAATAAGAACCTACAAAAAAGTGGGTTTTGGGCTCTTAAGCGTAGGGGCCTAGTCTCCACTTCCTCAACGTTGAGTTCTGCAGTGAGCCTCCCCAACACGATCGACTTCTCTGCCTCGGTATAAACCCTAAACCTTAAACCTTCAACCCTAAACCCTAAACCTTAAACCCTCAACCCTCAACCCTTAAACCCTCAACCCTAAACCCCTAAACCCTCAACCCTAAACCCAGTTGGAAGTCCTCCGCAAGCACTGCCCGGAAGTCCCGCAGTCTACTTTCGAAAGCTTTGGGTTTAGGGTTTAGGGTTTAGGGTTTAGGGTTTAGGGAAGCAAGAAGCTCAGTTTGACTGAGCTTCTTGCTTCCTTGCACCGTAGGTCCCACTATCATTCTCCAGGGTTCCGAAGTATAGTTTAATTATGATACTCCGGGTTTAGGGTTTCGGGTTCCTGAATATCGTTTAATTAATTAAGATAAGCATTATTAGAACATACCCGAACACCCAAGCCCCACCTCTGATCCGGTAATGGCTTCCCTTCACCCCTGAATCCGCATCCCCGCGTCATAAGCCGATGCCTTCTCACTCTCCTGTACATCCGCACCCCTTTTGAACCCTAAACCCTAAGCCCTAACCCTGATCCATCTTCAACCTACTTAGACCGCACAGCACTAACCCCTATAAGCCCTAAAACCCAAGCCCTAAGCAACCCTGAACCATCTTAAACCGTCTTTAACGCTGCGCCTTCAGGCCGCAGACAGAAGGTGGCTGTTACTGCCTTTGCGTAACTTGGCGGCAAGACGTTCAGCTCGGGCTCACGGGCTCTACAACTGGGAATTCGCTCATGGTTTATGTGCTACGACTCTTTCTTTAGGTAGCTCAAGACCTCAGGGTTAACAGTTGTGGGTTTTGGCTGGGTTGAACTTGAAACCATGTTAATGGTGTTTTATGGTTTTAGGTGAATTTCGAAAGCTTTCGATTCGCAATGGCGATATCTACATCACAGTCCTAGTTAGAATGTCAAGGCCCCTGCAGCCTAAACCCTAAATTCGAATCCTGCACTAAGCCCATTACTGCACACGAATCTCAACCCTAAGCCGAAACCCTCACATTTCCCTATAGCATATACATGAGCCCCGAAGCTACTCCTTGAGAAAACTTTAAACGCCAAGCTCTGAACATGAGCTCGTTAGGCTCCCAACGTCAAACCCGGACTAAGGGTTTAGGGTTTACCTATAGTCTCCATTGTAGTCCCTTTTTTGGTTTAACCAATTTTATATTAAGGATCCCAAAAGGTAACCCCAAAAAGGACTTACAATGGAGACTACAAGCAGAGTTCAGAGTGTTGGAATCGATGCTCCTGCAGATCTCTTTTGGCTCGCTTCTGTCACGCAGATATGCCTAGCGGCCATGCGAACTCGGGCACTTCAAGCATCCGGGCTCTGAGATACTTTAGGCTTTAGGGTTTAGGGTTTAGGGTTTTTTTCCGTAGTTCCCAGTACGGCAGGAACCTGATTAAGAAACACTGGTCCTTGAACCCCAAAATTGTCAAGATCCTAAAGACCCAAGGTTTCTTAGTCAGGTTCCTACATTATGTTTAGGGTTTAGGGTTTAGGGTTTAGGGTTTACATTAATCGAGCTCGACAGTCAAACGTACGTTGTTTGGTACAGCTCTGACAGTCGAGTTAGTCTAGCTGTTTGTTTCCTTGTGTTGTCGGCGGAGTTTTTCTTTCGCTTAAAGCCAAGCTAGTTGACAATGGGTCATGCCTGTTCATTTAAAACTTAAACCCTAAACCCTATACTTTAACAACCTACATCAACCCATTGGTGCCGAGCATCCAGCATTTCACCAAGCCTTTGCAGAACCGGGCGTCTGGTTTTTCATCTTCTGGCACCAAACCCTAATCCTAAATCACTTACCCCGACATCCTAGATCCCTGAACCCATTTTAGGGTTTAGGGTTTAGGGTATATTCATTCCTATACCCTACAGTGCTGAAGACCACTGCCCAGGGCAGCTCGTGACTGGTGCAAGGGACGTAGTAAGCAGGGTTGTAATTGGGGTAACTTCATTTCTGGTACGTATAACTCTGCTTACTAAGTCCCCTGCGCCTCCAAGTATGGTTCAGGGGCTTAAGGGATCTATACGGGTTTAGTGGTCTACGGCTTCGAGATACAAGATTTCACGTCAAGCGTTCGGGTGTACATTCTGCAACATCTACGTAAGCAAGACGATGACTGCTTGTTGAAGCCCCACCCTGTGGATTTATAGGTTTCAGGGCACCTGAGGGCGTACTACAGGGTGTGCAGATCTGAACTCTGAACCCTATAGAAGTTTCTTCTCAAAGCCTTTAAAAAGCTCATAAACCCTTATGTAGCCATTCCAGAACCGTTATCAATCCCATATAAACAGGAACGCTTAAAGGAACCCTCAAAAAGGACCATTAAACGGAACCCTTCAACGGAACCCCTACACAACCCTCATTGCACCCTTCTAAACCCTACCCTGAACCCTACGGAACCTGTAAGAAGCCGTGCAAAACCAGGACCCTCTTGGTACCCTACAATAGGGGTATATGGCCCCAAATAACGGGCACTTACAAGTTATAACCCTGAACCCTAGACCCTAAACCCTAAACCCTAAACCCAAAGCCCTAAACCCTAAACCCTAAACCCTAAACTTATAACCCTGAACCCTAGACCCTAAACCCTTGGAGGGTCTGAAAAGCCTCAGGCACCTGCTCGGGTCTCGTCCATGTCGAAGTCAAGCCAACTTCTACAGGGTTTAGAGCCTTGGAAAGGATTTAGGGAATTTAGGGGGACGTATTTAGGTTTTACGGGTTTGGGGTTGAGTAACGGTTTAGGGTTTAGGGTTTAGGACGTATTTAGGTTTTAAGGGTTTGGGGTTGATTATGGGATGGGTTTCGGTTTAGGAGGATCGTATCAAGAGCTGCACGTCTAGGGGTGCAGTTACAGGCTTCTTCCCAGCAAGTTCACAGATTCCTAAACCCTAAACCCTACAAATCCTAAACCCTAAACCCCTAAACCCTAAACCGCAAACCCTAAACCCCAAATCCTAAACCCTAAACCCCAAACCCTAAACCCTAAACCCTAAATCCTAAACCCTGGGCCGCCGGACAGTACGAGCTCC